CAGCAAAGACACCGCTCTCTGCTCCAACAAAACATGCACAGTTTGAACCACTTTGAGCCCTTCCAGCTCAGCCTTGATGCCCAACCTTTCCAGCGGAGAAACACTCAACCATTTGGCATACGCTTGATATGCCTTTGAGTAGACGCATTGCCACCACACTCTTCCTGTATCTGTCAGCGAAGACAACATTGGTTCGATCATTGCGATCCAATCACCCAGTGCCGTCGGATTGCTTGGTGTGTAGTCTGCCAAAGTTGGAAGGCTCATCACATGCTTCCCGAGAGCCTCCGGACGTTCGGTTCCAGAACTATCGCCAGTGATTGGCATACCACGAGGCACCACTGCTCCAGGAGGTAAACTGACCCTACCACCAGGCCCTTGAGGTAGTCCATGTCCTCTACCAGGCGTAACAGCTGTGAGCGGAACCTTTTCTAATTCCAACTTCCCAGCGACCATTTTCCACCGATACGGAACATCATCCACCATCGTATATCCGCCCGATCCTGCTGAGTTCTCTTGCGTTGCAGTTTCCCGAGCTGAAACAAAACCGGGCTGGTTCCCCACAGGTGCGGCAGAACCATCAACACCTGACGGCACGGAAGTAATCGGAACATGTGTTAAACCAGGTGGTCCACTTGCATATCCACCACTTGCAGGACCTCCCGTGGGGTAATTCAATGGAGGCAATCTGGAGGGTTTCTTCCCTTCAGCTACATGCATCATTGGCACTTCTTTTTCATCCTCCACTTGAACATCCCCCTTCCTGGACCCAGGCAAGGATTGAAGATCACAACCCTTTGGCAGGTCGTAACCCTCAATAGGCAGCCATGTCCCATCCGGCAACACAGTCCAAAAACCACCCATACCATCCGTGTAGAAAACTTGTCCTGGCAGGTACTGCTTCTCTGGAGTCATTCCTAGAGGATATGCCGTGTTTGCGTCCACCACTCCAGAGCTCCGTGCCCTTGAAGCTGACCCAGATGCAGCAGAGGTATAGCTTTTCTCCTCCACCCGATGCAGCCTGTTCCCCAGCTCCTTTGTCTGCACAAGCAACTCTTTCAGCGCACGCTTCACCACCGCCATATCTTCAGTTTGCTCTTCACCACTAACATCAGGAATGAGTTCTTCGTCGGCTTGCACTCCACCAATAGTACCTCGTTCCATTTGGCCCATTAAGCCTGACGATGGTCTCTCAACAGGTGCAGGTTCCTGACCCAAAGATCTTGCAGCGAAGGTGGCCTCCTCGTACCTTCACCACTTCTATCCCCTCCGCTCGCAGGAAGACTTGCCGGCCTTGATTGCCTAAGTCTCATTTCTTCTTGAGCCCGCGCGCTCCAGAAAGGATTTGCTGCTTGAACCGGAACCACTTCGTTTTCCACCTGAGGCGTTGGTTGTATCATTGCAACCTCCCTACCATCTGTCAGCGCTTGTACCACTTGTTGTCGATCTTCACCCCCATCACCACGATTTCCTTCGGCTTCATTGGCCGTTGGCGACAGTCCAGGCTCAGAGCGACGCCGCATCATGTCCATGGCGTTAAACAAACGAAAAATCTTTACCTATTCCGCAGGAAGCCTAATTTGGGCTCATAACCTACGGGGGGCAACCGAAGGAGGACAGGGAACAAAACAGTCAACCCCAACAGAAACCCTTGATTCCCCTGGAACAACCAACAACCAAACAACAAGACCCCAAACCAAGGGCACACTTTTTACGAAACCTTCGACCGCTTTGGTCATGGCTTGAGCCTTGAGCCATAAGATTACCGGGTTCATTGACCCTTCAACTTCCAATACCAACTCCTTTCTACAATACCAACTGCAGCTCCGCATAGGGTTTAGGGTTTGGGGTTTAGGGTTTAGGGTTTAGGGTTAAAGGGAGCCAGCCTACCCGATCGCATTCAGGAAGCTCAGAACTCCGAAGCTCCATAGCCGGGTAGTCAACCTCATGCTACTTTGGTTCTAAGTCACGCCACCGACTGGGAACGAAAATTCCGAGAGTTCAATGTCGATCGAGCCTATACCCTGCTTGTGACATCAGGACAGGGGCAATGGGGTTTAGGGTTCAGGGTTTAGGGTTTAGGGTTTAGCTCATCTCAAAGCATGTCAGGGGCAGCCGTCAAGTATTTTGCACAGTGTGGCATGCGGACTTGACGGCGTGTCGTGTTACGCCTGTTTCTGCGAAAAGGGCATTATGAGCCTCCTTGGACAAACCTGAAGGAGAAGCTCTTGAGCCCTGCCGTCTACCTATAACCCCAAACCTGAAAACCCTACACTGCCTAACTCCTAACCCCAAACCTGTCACCGTGGACCCTAAACCCCTAGCCTGAAACCCGAAACCCTAAACATCCCTAAACCACAAAACATGTGGCAAAAGGGGTCCTAAGAACTCTGAAACCTGGCAGGAGCGAAGAAGGAAGAGACGGAGCTACAACTTGTTTGAGGCCCGGCTTCCTATTAGGGTTTAGGGTTTAGGGTTTAGGGTTTAGGGTTTAGGGTTTAGGGTTTAGGGTTTAGGGTTTAGGGTTTAGGGTTTAGGGTTTAGGGTTTAGGGCCTGAGTCGTTATTGATCTTTAAAAACTCCAAAGCCCCTGCCAGAAACCTACAGTTTGTTCGTCCGTACCCCTGTCCCAAGTAATCCTCAGGGCAGAAGCCCTTCTTGCCTCACTCACCTCAACTTGCTAACCCAGTGGTACCCCTTTTTCCCTTTCTTTGGTTATGGGTTCCCTTCACGGTTTAGGGTCGAACCCCTGGACCCCTAAACCCTAAACCCTGAGGCATAGTTCTCTCAAGAGCAGATTGGGCAGCTTTCTCAATTTCGGTTCCATTCTGCGTTGCTCCTCGCCATCTGGATGGCCTAGGACCCAGAGTTAGACCCTCATGAGTGTTTTTTTGGGCTTTAGGGTTTGGGGTTTGGGGTTTCGGGGCCCGACTAAGCCAAGAAGCGCACCGAAAGGTCAGGGGGCTGTTAAAGTGCTGGGCAATGAAGTATGTTTAGGTTGTAGGGCTTATAGAGGCCCTAGGGATTTAGCTAAGCCTAAACCCTAAACACGGGACCCTAAACCCTGAACCCTAAGCCCTAGGGTTTAGGGCTTGGAGCTTAGGGTCTAGAGTTTAAGGGTATGTTGGGGGTCGCGCCCCAAGTGAGAGAGAGGCGCATGGCTGTCGCTGGCCACGCACTCCAGCCGGCTGAGTGCCAGCAATCTGTTGAGGGCGTGACGGTTAGGCGTTTGAGATGCATTCAGATGCCCTAAAACCCCTACAGGGTTTAGGGTTTAGGGTAGATGCGTTCAGATGCCCTATAGAACCGCCCTAAAGAGGCAGCTAAAGTAGGTACCGTCCTTACAGCTGCTTTGTGTGCGGAATTGCCTTGAGCCAAGCGTGCAGGGGGGTTGAGATCTTGGAATTCTGGAGCCTCAAAGCAGCTGGATGTCTTCGCAAGTGAAAGCCTCCCCCCCAAAAAGCTGTCAAGCTTAAACCCCATCAAGCCCGGATGTTGAGCATGACAATGATTCAAAACCTTCGGAACTTATAGCCAGTCCCGATCAACGCAAAAAAAACCTTAGACCCGCTTTCGGCATCACCCTAGCATAAGAAGACTGCAACAATGAGGTCATCGCAGAGCACGAGCAGTAGTAGTAGCAGGACACGCCACACCACCCGCGTGTTGGCAGAGTGCCCTGTCTGACGAGCACGTGGCATGGCTTGTCTTCTGTTTCTGGCCGATCCCTGTGTAGGGTTAGGGGTTAGGGGTTTAGGGTTTAGGGTATAGGTTTTAGGTTTTAGGGTTTAGGGTTTAGGGTTCAGGGTAGGGATTAGGGTTTATTCCAATGCTTGGACGGTTGGCTTCCCCATTGCAAAGCTTGCAAGCATGTACATTGTAAACCCTGAATCCTACACCCTACACCCCCCTAAACCCAAAACCCGAGCCCAAATGATCACTCTGAATTTGTCCCCACAGCAACATGACACACCCAATCCCTTGGCACTCTCGGAAGCAGTGGCAGATACACGTTACATGTTCCCAGGTCGCTTTCACCACTTGTGTGGGTTTCCGACAATAGGGGTACCTTATTGGGGCCCTTTTTGTAAGGGAATCCTACTATGTGGGGGCCTACATTCGAGGTCCCTTATCGTCGTAAACCCCCACTTGTGGTGATGTAGTCCCAAAAGTTCAAAGTACTCAGGCTCGGACAATGCATGACACCACAGGCAACACGACTTACACGCAGCACGCGTGAGATACTGGCCAGGATGCAGGGCACGGCGTAGCGATGCCTCGTCTCCAAAGTTAATGCATGCACGGCTGCTTGCCCACAGAGTGTCGTCTAAGCTGCCTGCGCCTTTGGGGCCAGGATTTAGGAGGATCATATTCAGACCTGCACCGGCATCTGAGTTGTCCTAACCAGGAATATTGTTCAGAGGGTTTCAAGGGCCATCCTAGCCGAATACAATGCCCAAGAGCTGTCCTCGCTCTGGGCGAGCATCCCACCTCCGCCTGAGAAGACCTCGGTGCAGGTGCCACTGCCGGAGAAAAAGAGCACCCGAGAGCTCGCGACACAAGGGCTTTGAGTCCAATTGAACACCGACTAACGCCCAAGACAGAGCCGTAACAAATTCTCGAACGCTTAATACCCCCAATACTAGTACAAAAGGTTTGGGGTTTGGGGTTTAAGGCTCCGGGTCTAGGGTTAGGGTTGGGTTCAAAAGGACTCGAATAAACAGATGGCATTTGCTTGGAGGTTTTGGGGTGCGGGTGCCGCCAAAGTCTTCGGGAGTACCGGTCTGCTGCAACCAAGACAATGCTCACAAATCCCGATTTTACAACAGAATCAATATTATATATATATATATATATATACATATACATATACACTCATGCTACATGTAATATATATATATATATATGTATATGTATGTATATGTATAGGTATTTTTCTATATGTGCGCATGTCATGAAACTGTGAAGTCGGCTTCCTTGATGTGATGTGCTGTGGGCAGGTGGAGCGACCGCAGCTGCAGCCCACCATCGTAGGCATCCAGCAAGCCTTCGTAGCGTGCACTTGGGGTTTGGGGTTTGGGGTTTGGGGTTTAGGGTTTAGGGTTTAGGGTTTTAGGGTTTTAGGGTTTAGGGGGCTGATGCGAATGGGGCACTTCCCCAACAGTCCCCCAAGTACCCCCTAAGAAGATAGGCCCTAAACCCTCAACCTTGAACCCGACACCCTAAACCGCATTGGCGGGGGGGGGGGGGGCGTCTATTTTTCATGACAGCTGGGCTCATGCATGTGCGTAAAAAAGGGGCCTTAATCATAATAAGAAGAAGAATAATAGTAGTAATAATAGTAATAGCTATATGCATGGGGGTTTCTACCCTATAATTATAAGCAGGGACCATAAGGGAATACGAACAGCAATTATTCCGACCCCTGTATTACTTGATTCTGCTCTCCGGAGCCATGAATCCCAGAGCCTCGGTTTAGGGTTTAGGGTTTAGGGTTTAGGGTTTAGGGTTTAGGGTCTAGGGTCTAGGGTCTAGGGTCTAGGGTTTAGGGTTTAGGGTTCGGGTTTAGGGTGAGCCCAAAACTTCCCTGAGCCCACCTTTGCGTCCACAAGTCGGGTCACCCGCACCCTTGGCGGCAACGTCCCGAAACCCTAAACCCTAAACCCTAAACCCTAAACCCTGAACCCTGAACCCTGAACCCTGAACCCTGAACCCTGAACCCTGAACCCTAAACCCTAGCCCTAAATCCTAAACCCTAACCCTAAACCCTAACATCAGATGTGGACAACCTCAGCTCCTTCATCGGCCAGCCGCTCTTTCTCTCCAAGCGGCCGCTCGGCGGAGCTTCTGGTTTAGGGTTTAGGGTTTAGGGTTTAGGGCTAGGGTTTAGGGTTTACGGTTCATGGTTTAGGGTCTTAGGGTTCGGGGTTCAGGGTATAAAAGTAAAGGGGTTTAGGGTTTTGTGGTTTCGCCCCGCGGCCTAGTGGCCCCCAAAACCTTTTTCTCTCGCTCTTTTTCTTCGTTGAAAGTTTATATCACAAGAGGCGAATATTCAGGATTTAGGGTTTGGGGCTAGGGTTTGGGGCGAGGGTTTACTGCCAGGGTTTAGGGCTAGGGTTTAGGGTTTATAGGGTTTATAGGGTTCAGGGTTTATAGGGTTTAGGGTGTAGGGTTTAGGGTTTAGGGTTTAGGGGATGCCTTAACTTCCCTTTCCTTAGTCCCCTCAAATGCCTTGAAGCGCAGGCTCTTTGAAGGTGAGATGCCTCCCGGCGTCGCGCGGGCTCCTACCAGGGTTTAGGGTTTAGGGTTTAGGGCTAGGGTTTGGGTTTTTTGGGTTTTTTGGGGGGTTTTGGGGGTTTTTAGGGTTGAGGGTTTAGGGCTAGGGTTTGGGGTTTGGGGTTTGGGGTTTGGGCTTTTTGGGGTTTTTGGGTTTTTTTGGGAGTTTTTGGGGTTTGGGGTGGTTTCTGTGGCTGGTGTGGTGTGATGTGGGCACATGAGATCATCAGAAGTCACAATCTGGGGGAGGTTTCGTGCTCGTGTTTGAGCTCCTTCTAAGCAACGACCCTTCAAACCATGGGTCGCAACTAGGTAGGAGTCGCCAGCCCAACCCCACAGCACCTTGTTGGGGGGGTTTGGGGTTTAGGGTTTAGTTAGGGTTTAGGGTCTAGGCCCTTGGATATTTTTTTAACTTTCACTTCAAGAGGATCGTATACAGGGTGTTTAGGGCCATGCTATACTAGGTATGCCCTTGGAATACTTTAGATTTTCCCCTATGAGGTGCAGGAGGGTTATAAGTTTAAGACATGTTTCAGAGGGTTTTAAGGGTCATCCTAGGAAAGGACTACGAAATTGCGTCTCCTGCTGAGTAGACACCCTTTCCCCTGGATCATTTATCTGCGTTGTTCTCTTCACTGGCCTGCTTGGAATTTATGCGCAACCTCTGCGAGCTTGAGGCCAAAGGGGCTGGTGCACCTCGCGCTGGGTTGGAGAGTTTAGGGTTTAGGGTTTAGGGTTTAGAGTTGAGGGTTGAGGGTTGAGGGTTGAGGTCGACTGATGCTAGACCAAGCTTGGCTGACAAAGCTCCAGAGCACGGCAAAGAGTCTCGACACGGCTTGTGGACCTAATTCTTCCCTCAGACTGCGTCGGTACCAGCCACATCTTGGCTCAAGTTTTGAGATTCAGACCCTAGAAATCCAGGCCATTCGGTAGCCAGCTCTCCAAATCCCTTCTCTCAGGGCATGATTGGGTTGAGGTGCTTAGGTCTGCTTCAGGTTTTAGGGTCTTGGCCAGAAAAGCCAGAAGGTCAAACAAAATCAGTCAAAGCACCTGTACCGTGAGAACCAGCCCGACAGCAACCTGGCAGGTATTGGATCGTACGACCTAAGGAACGATAGAACTACCCAACTTCTTCTACTATTTGCTCAAGAACCCCCCAAAAAATAGAAATAATATTCCCTGTACTACCCTTATGAGATGTTTTTCTTTTTTTCGGGGGTTCTTAAGCAAATAGTAGTCTTCGGCAGAATGGACGATCCTTTTGCTGTGCTGCGGATCCCGGGCTTTACCGTCCGCAAGGTGTGGTGCCCCAGCGAAGAGAAGAGCGACACACGATGGGCATGAAACCGCAAAACCCTGAACCAAAAGGGTTTGGTAGGGTTTAGGGTTTAGGGTTTGGGGTGTGGGGTTTGGGGTTTTGGGTTTTGGGTTTAGGGTTTAGGGTGGGCCGACTCCCCAAGCCCGGATGCAAAAAGGTTTAGGGTTTAGGGTTTAGGGTTTAGGGCAAACTAGCTGATCCTCCTGGGCTGCAATGATCCGTCTTCTGTGCCTGTGTTCGTCTAGATGATCGTGGCTTGAGCTCATCATGTGAAGTAGGGTTTACATTACTGTTTTTGGTGAGTGCATATAAGGTTCCTTGTTAATGTTGGTGAGTGTATATATTTGGTGTCCTTTTGGGGGTACAAGAAATATAAATCCTGCTTCATCTAAGTGTGTGTTTGCCTGTCTGTTCTTGTGGCGCATGCCAGTTCCCAGTGACGGCACGGCAAGAAACATCAAAAGTGCACTTCCATTGAGCTGCTGCTTCAGAAGCTCCACGATGAGCAAAAGCCGCGCAGTCGAGAGGTTCTTCTTGTTCATGGAGCAACCCGAGATTCGAGGGTTTAGGGTTTAGGGTTTGGAGTTTAGGTGCAGAGGCTAGGACAACACCCAATTCATCCTCCGTCGCCCAACAGACGCCAAAAGGCATTTGATTTCTTGATGCCCCCTAAACCCCACACCCTAAACCCTAAACCCCAAACCCTAAAACCTAAACCCCAAACCCTAGACCCTAAACCCTCAATGCCAAGAAGGCTCCCGTAGAGGCCTTTTCAAAGCGGCTCTGCCTCCCGATGAATCTCTCATATTGTTTCAGGGGCAGCCTAATTGCTCTAACTAAATCCTCAGCAACCCTTGCAGAGCTGCGGTTTAGGGTTTAGGGTTTAGGGTTTAGGGTTTAGGGTTTAGGGTTTAGGGTTTAGGGTTTAGGGTTTAGGGTTTAGGGTGCAGTCATGCTGCACAGCTGGGCAGGAATCGGATCTCCCGAAGCTGAAAGAGCGCGCCATGGGCCTCGTGAGGCAATATGAGCCATGGGCGGATTCAGTTTGTGATTGAGGGGTACAAGGAGGGTTTAGGGTTTAGGGTTTAGGGTTTAGGGTTCAGGGTTCGGGGTTCAGGGTTTAGGGTTTAGGGTTTAGGGTTTAGTGTTAAGGGTTTTAAGGGGTACAAGGAGGGAACGCCTAGCAGGGACCCTTAATCTTATTCCCCTATATGACCCCTATGTATATCCAAAATAGTCCCTAAGTTTCCTCAGAAGCCCCTCAATAACCCCTAAAATAGGAGCCATGGCTGATTCAGTTTTGAGGCTTTGGGCCTTTTTGGGTTCGGGGGTTTAGGGGTTAGTGCTTAGGATTTTTGTGTTTTTTCGCGGTTTAGGTTTTTTTTTTCAGGTTTTCGAGAGCGTTGTGTTCTTTAGGGTGTCGGAATCGTAAGGCTTGTGGGGATTGGGGATTGAGGCTTGAGGGCGTTAAGGATGTTTAGGATTTTGATAGGACGCAGGGAAGTGCCCAAGGGTAACTTCATTCCCAAATTCGGGGAACCGTTTGAGGGCGGTTATCTGTAGAAGTGAGAAAAAAGAATTTTGGGCTTTAAGATAGAGTATGGGGCCTTAGCCGGCCCAAGCCGTTTTGCGAGAGAGCCTACGTTTGCATTCTAGAGCAGAAAGGGAGTCTGCTGCAGCCAGGCAGTTTCTCCCAAAGTTGCAATTCACAGTCTTAGAGTCTTAGGCAGGCTGCATGCTCCGTCATCGACAAGACCAACTAGACAGCAATTCGAATCCGCTCGCCTGCGCACCTTCCCTTCCCCTGCTTTCCCATTAAAGAAAAATCATGGCACTTGCGGCTTTACGAAATTAAGGGACCAACAAGGACCCCAATAAGGTACCCCCGAATTTCGGAAGCCCCTAAACCCCTAAACCCTAAACCCTCGTACTTGAGGAGAAGGTCAACAAGCACGACAAAGCCCGAGAAGTGGAGAAGGCCTATCGCGCCGTCAAAGAAATGGTCCTCCAACGAGCCGCTGCGCAGCAAGAGCCTATAGCTGTGGAGGGTGTAGGGTCTACTTGGGGTAGAGAGAGAGCCAGGGAGAGAGAGAGAGAGAGAGAAAGAGCGGGAAGCTGCGGAGGGTCTAGGGTCAACACGTAGGGGTAGGAAGAGGAGGAGAGAGAAAGAGGGAAGTGCATCTCCAATTCGTTTTAGCAGAAGTCGAAGCAGCACAAAGTATATATAAATATACACATATATATATACACATAATGATATATATATATATACACACACATATATATGCTACCCCCCCCCCCGGGACCTACCTTTTTGAGTGTTGTTGGTTAATTTTTGCAGTGGATGTCTTGGTCTGTGGCCAGTTAATGTGCTTGTTAAAATTCAGTTTACTCACAAACAGAGCCCAGACGATAATTTCCTAGTGCGTGGCCTTCTTTTCTAAGCTCATCTTTTCAATAACTTACGAAGCAAGCCCAGATGAGGGGGTTTCAGGCTGTGACCTCTGAATATAGGATCTAATGACATCTTGTTTGTCAGGCCCCGTAAGAGGATTGCAGAAGGTGTGCAATTTAAGTTTAAACATCGAAGCCAACCCACATGCGAACGAGGCCCAGAGGAGGATTGGACAGGGTAGTCTTGGAATTTAGTTTTTTTCTATTAACATTACGAACGAGGCCAGAAGACCTCTCAGAGGAAGTTCACTTAAGGTGTAGGCTGTTATTAGCAATTTGGTTTAAATATGAATTTGAAGCCCGACAGATTCTTATCAGACGTAAAGCTGAACGACTTCCAAATGACAACGTTTTAGGGTATGACCCTTTAATGTGAAATCCAAATAGTATGGGCTTGATACCCGGTTGCTTTGGACTGCGGGAAACATGAAGGGTGGTGAGCGGGATAGGATAATTGCTCACAGTATTCTCACGTCCCCCACACTTACTGTAAATGACTTTTCGCATCACCCTATGCACTCGAATGCTTCCTGGTCTTATGATTCAAGACTTGCCATCCTTCCTTCTCCATCGTTTGTATTTGATTTACAATACATATACCCCATGTACATACATGATGTGAATACGTATACTGTGTTCTCTCTGCATTTCCACAGGAGGCAAGCCCTACGAACATAGGCATAACCCTATGGGATTTAAGGTTTAGGGGTTTATGCCCCACGCCCTGGAGGTTCGTAAGGTTCTGATTCTACAGGCAATGCTTGAATCTTAAACCCTAGACTTTTTACCCTGTAGGATGTACACCCTAGAGGGCTAACCCCGTGAGGGTTTTAGAGATACACCCTGAAGGGGCCTTAAACCTTTAGCCCAGCCCTATAGGTATAAATGGTTCAAACAACCTAAGGCCAGGGCAAGTATACCATCAGCGCCTATAGGCTTAACACCTTTGAACCTTTTAGCGTCCTACAAGGTTTTCGGATTCTGAACCTAAAGGGTTTAGGGTCAACGTGTAAATGCCTAAGCCTTAAACACGTGGGTTGAAACTCTACCTCTAAACCTTAACCCCATTAACCCCAGGGCTTTAAGGCCAAGGGTGTAGGTTTACTTGCCGGCTTAGTTTTACATGCCTAAACCTTAAACCCTAAACCTTTAGACCTTCACTATGGGGTTTAAAGGGTTACGATTAAGGATTAAGTCTAATTGCTTAACCTTCAAGCCCTATGTAT